GTTGAAACAAAATATAAAGTACATCTTTCATTAAAAAAATGGCTCTTATAGAACTGACAGGCTGCTGTATGCAAGTTCAACAATGTCCGTTTTATATTGAGAACAACATCCAGCTACCGAGTCAAACTAACAATACTCAGTGGACTGACGTCAAAGGGCCATGTATCTGAGGTAAAACTTAAGTCGCTTACATTGGCATCTATCAGACTATGAATGTGTGCAGCAACCACATCATATAGGGCAGGCAGGGATACATCTGAAAAGTAGTAGAGTTACACGGAAAACGGCTGGTCATCAAGAGCGATAAATTCTGTGATTCTGTCATCAACTGCCCTTGCTGAAATGCCTGCAGCATGGGTACTGCTGCACTGACACTCGCTTTTTCCCCCTCACTAACGCTGGATGCAAGCGCCTCATATTCCCGGCATACATCGTCATCGCGATGACTGACTCTAAGGTAACTTATGAGATTGGTAGTGTTAACATTTGCTAATGTTTATTGGAACCTTTGCACAATTGTTGCAAATTGCAATCCTACAGTCACTCTCAGAAAGTGTGAAAACATTCACACCGGTTTTTCAATTCTGACGTAAAGATCACACTGGTATGGACAGGCACAGATGTATGACATGATGAGCGCGAACAGGTATTTATCAGATGTTTCATCAGCTATTATTTCCAATTCCAATAAATAAATAGTATTATAAAATTCCCATTATTGAGCCGTTAATATATCGGACCGATATATGTTTTGCATCCCTAGCTTATTCCTTATGGACATTCCCTGGAGCTGTCGGCCAGCGTAAGCCTGACTGACTAACCGCTAATCAAATCCACATGGAGCAGTTCAGGACCAATACCTCTGCAACAACTTCTAAGATGTCACAACATAACAAAGAAGTCTCCCATGTCTCCTTAAAACTATTCACACACTTTCACAAAATAGTATAGTTTCACCATTTCTGAGAATGTTCCATATTTATCTAAAAGATATGAACACAAGATTTCGAAGTTTTACTTTATGTGAAGATCTATGTAAAATATGATTCACGTCAACATGCCATAGTAATGTTTTCTTTACAACTATTATCTATTTTAGGAAACTGATGCGTGGCAGCTATTGAGTTTAGTTTGTCTAAACCATTTCATATAACAATTGCACAAAACATGCATTCATGCAACAGTACCTGCTCCATTCAAAATTTCAATCCCTTGTTTGTTTTCTTTGCGCTGTATAAACTTTTTGTACAGTCAATGTTACCAGACTAATTGCAGAAAGTTCAGACAGCATTAAACAATAAAAGAAGAAAAACAAGCAGAATCAACCTGCAGGATTACTTGTAGCCTTGGCCTTTGAATATATAAATGTTTGAACAACTTGGACGTTCATTTTGATGGTAGTAACACCATAAAGATAACATAGTGGTAATGAAAACAAAGAAATGAACAGATCATTTTCTCCAATAAAATGGAAAGTGTTTTTTTCCAATGCACTGAATTTAAAAAGGCTGGTGAAAACATTAACCAAATTTCAATCAACTAATAGAGAAAAAAATCATTAGTTGCAGTTGGATACAAGATGAAAACCCATCTCAAGCAACTACAAAAGGAAAATCCTATACTTAAACATTAATGTACTACTGGTCTAACATACATCAGTTACTGGGGACATGTTTCCTACAGAGTGATTTCATTTTTACACTTTTTACACTAAGTACAATTATTACTGCTCCTACTAATAATAATAAAAACATTAATAATAATAACAACATAACATTTTCGATGCAACTTCTAACAGTGCTTTGACAGTGTGGTATTTGTAACTTTTAAGTTAAAGACATGAATACTTCATCCACAGCTGATGCCAACATGCCAACGAACAGGTTCAACTAAAAACACTTATTTTTCTGTTTGTTAACGAAAAATTATTTGTATTGCCCATATTAACAAAATCATAGTTTTTCGCATAGGGTTAGGTGCTACATCCCCCAGGGGAGTAGAGAAAAACGTAGAAACCTGAAGGAGAGGCACATGTGAGGGATCCCTCTCCCTGGGCGGACAGATAAGGATGATTGTTAAAAATAATTGTGTGATCCTGTGATATTTTCTGTTATTTTTAATTTAATATCGGAGTGAGTTTTCAACCGTACTCTTTTGAATGCTACTTTATGGAGGCTCACTAATCTTTGATCGTCTTAGCTATTGATTATTTGATCAGGGACAACATGGGGGCCACGTTAAATGTCTTGATGATTTACCGGTGGTTGGCCTGGCTTCACAATGTCACAAACCGATCTTGGTTTTTTCTTTGTTTATCGAGCTAATAATGAGACTCGTTATCATGCTACCATTAGCCAGAATAATGGATAATTGAGGTTACCGCAAAGAAGCTAAGCGTTCAAAGACAACGAATAGTCACTTACCTCCGACCCAACCATGTAAAAGTCCCCGTCTTGTTCCAACTGAAATTTAACCGGCTTCTGACCAAATGTTTTCGTTAAAGCCAATTGCATCTTTACGTAGTCGTTAACCAGCTAACTGTTAAGTAGCCCTCTCTTCTTCAGATGTGTTTGGGGCTTTCGGTAAAGATGGTATCTTCTCAAAATATAGTGTTCGATTTGTGTTTCTATATTTGAAAAACAAACTATAATCATGGGAGCTCAACAAAAACATAACCACATTAAAACTAAATTTCCCCAGGAAACCACAAACCCGCTATATGCTTGTATGCTTTACAATACGTCTAATCAACACATCGAAAATGTGACTTGTCATGAGGTTTTTTCCGAAAACCATGAACGCAGCATTGCCATTGCTCTTCGTTCGTTTGAAGGTAGAGAAACAAATTGCAGAGAGCATTACCACCCCCTAGTGATATAAAGTGAAATCAGATTACATCCTCCATTAGGGGAGAATGTTATTGGAATTAAATGTCTTTTGAATATAATTCCATGTATTACAATACATTAATTTCATTGCATCATCATTACTACGACGGGAATGAAAACCCACACAGTGCCACCAAAGGGAGTATTTCTTTATTTTCTATTCTATCTCATGTAAAATAGACCTTGTAAATACAAGTTCAGGACAACTGAATGACAGCAGTACAGGGATATCCATGGATAGGGTAGTCCTAATTTTAGCCTATTTGATAAATTGTTCAGAACTAGCAAAAACTGTTGAAAAATAATTTGTGTGTTTAAATGATGAGTCAGGCACAAGAGTGAATTTGCTGAAAGGAACAGAGTCAGCTATATATCTCATTATAGTTACACAATCATTAGGGGATAACGCTATAGGGAAGTATTCAAAGAAACCATTATAAGGAGTGATCACTATCCAATATTCCTAAAGGTAGGAGTAGAAAGACAAATGGCGCAGAATGAGGGAGAAGGTTTGATGGAGCAAATTGGGAGAAGTATAGAATATTAATAGAAGATTTAAGAAGGTAAAATTAGATCAGACCATTAATGACATCAGCACAGTAATATGCATTATTGTAGGAACAGCAAAGAGTCAATTCCAAAAAGATAGTACCATGCAAATACAAAAATGCACCAATGCTATAAAAATAGAAATAAATCATTAAAAGTATTAAAGAATGCACACACTTTTCATAATTTAATTGATTACAAAAGGACACAAGGAGTTGTTAGTTGTTAGGAATCTTATTAAAAGAACTAAGAAAAATTATTAGAAGGGATATATTGTGACTCACTGAGTACATCACTTCAGAATCAGAATCAAAATCAGAAGTACTTTATTAATCCCGTAGGGAAAGTCAAATGTTACAGAGCCCCTGAGAAAGAGGTGAAAGAGCAAAAGCAGTTATAAACACAGCAATATAAAAATCAAGTAAGGCTAAAATAAATAAAAGATATACATATGTAGAAATAAAGACTGGGTATGTATAGATTTACATTTGTGCATGAGTAAAGTAAGTTAAAATATACACAGTATACATTATTAATCTTTATACTGTCATAGTACAATTTGTCATAGTACAATTTGACAGCCACAGGCAGGAATGATTTCTTGTGGTGTTCTGTCGAGCAGCGTGGGTGGATGAGTCTGCCACTGTAAGAGCTGCAGAGGCTAATCAAGACATTATGGAGAGGGTGTGCCCCCCCCCCACAACATGGCTGGCTTTCCTGATTAGCTTGTTGAGTCTTTTAATGTCCTTCTTTTTCAAGCAGACAACAGCAAACATGATGGCACTGGACACAACAGACTCATAGAACATCCGCAGCATTGTCCTGTCCATGTTGAAGGACCTGAGCCGTCTCAGAAAATAGAGACGGCTCTGGCCTCTTTTGTAAATCGTGTGTCCACATTTTTTGACCAGTCCAGTTTATTATCTAAGAACACCCCAAGTACTTGTAGTTATCCACCATTTCCACACTGGCCCAATGGATGGTGACAGGGGTCACCGGCCCCTTCGACCTCCTGAAGTCCTCTACAAGTTCCTTTGTCTTTGACACATGAGCTGTAGGTGGTTTTTACCACTCCATGTGACAAAGTTGTCCACCACAGTCCAGTACTCACTCTCATTCCCATCAGTGATACATCCTACTACTGCAGAATCATCAGAAAACTTCTGAAGGTGCCAGGTCTCTGTGCAGTAGCTGAAGTCCATGGTGTAGAGAGTGAATAGAAAGGGAGAGAGGACAGTCCCCTGAGGAGTCCCAGTGTTGCTGACCACTCTGTCTGACATGCAGCCCTGTAAAGGTACATATTGCGGTCTGCCAGTCAGGTAATCCACAATCCAGGACACCAGTGGGGCATCCACCTGCATCGATGTCAGCTACCCAGTAGCGTCGGCCTGATGGTGTTGAATGCACTGGAGAAGTCAAAGAACATGACCCTCACAGTGCTTGCCGGCTTGTCCAGGTGGGCGTAGACTTGGTTGAGCAGGTAATATGATTAAAAGAATGGGTGGAAATAGAAAATAATATGGATATCCTATCATGGAATAAAGGTGGAACTTAGTCATATAAAACAAGAATAGAGCAGAATTACGTGCAAAGACATTTGTAAAACAGTTCAGAGAACTTTAGTAATGAGGGAAAGGACAATAGGTAGAAAAATAGACAACCTTCAAGACAAAAAGGAAGATGGAAATATAATAAAGTAAAGCAGGGACAACAACTCCAGGGGAAAAAAACGTAAAAATGGGAAATTATTGAAATATGGAAGGATGAGTGGAACAGAAAATCTGATGGTATACAATAATATAGAAGCCAAAAGAAAGGAGGAGAATCAATAGGAATTGAAAGGAATTAAAAGATCACATACGATTACAAGTGTAAGAAATGCTGCTATTGAACCAGCATGTAGAGTAATAAGGCAATATTTCCATTAGAACACGACTAATCAAAATAATGTAGTGAGTGTAAAACTTTCTGATCCACACTCCAGTTCAAGAGGTGGCGGTAATGCGTCTAAAGGTCGTTTGCCAACCGCCCAAAAAAAATTTACAAGAAGAAGGCGAAGAAGATGAAGAAGGAAAAAAAGAAACAGGCGCAGGCGCAGGACCAGCGCTATACTTCATTCACCAAAATGGCGACATTGACAGTGAGTCGACCACCGTTCGGGGGCTTTAGTTTCGAAAACTCTAAAAGGTAGGCACTCACGGTTATCTTATCTAATCAGAATGACTACATTGTACCTACTCAATCTGATTTGTTTTACCTTTTGTACCAGGCTTTTTGGGTCATGTTTTAATACGTATTCCAATCAATGCTCGGTCGTGTGAACTAGGCTTCCATACAATGACTCAGGCATTTCTCGGCGCTAGTAACGTTATCACCGTTTTTTTAGATTATATTTTAGAACATTTAGGAGTTGTAGACTTTACTATTGCCATTTTTTCACAGAATTCTTGTCTTGATTGCCAATACGGCACTTATCTGTATAAATAAACTAAAAAAATCACCACAAACTGTCTGACTGAGTAAATACGTGATGGAGGCATTGTATGGAAAAAAAATCGTTAATTGTTTTATCATACGATACGAACACCTTAGTAAAGCGTCAACAGAGAGTAATTGGACAGTACCATGTGTGCGCCACATTTAATGACAGAATTGCTAATAAACAGTAAAAAATTATAATACTTTTCACTATTGATACACGGAGTGGCCATCTTGGATTTCGAAATCGGGGTTTGGCGACTTGCGACTTGAAGGTAGGGCTGGAGAGAGACCGGCAAAAGTTGTGTTATCATAATTTATAAGCTCGGTCTGACTGGTTCTGGTTGTTACAATGAAAATCTTAAGAGTTGTGGCAGCTGTGGTTACAGAGAGTAGTCGTCCAACCAGAKGGTTGGCGTCTTGGTCTCTGTCTTCAGCATGCGAATTTTCCTTGGGCAAGGTACTGAATCCCAAATTGCTCCTTCTCATAGAGAAAAGGGCTGCACATAGATACACTGTATGAATGTATGAATGTGTGAATGTAAAACTGTCCCATGAAGTGCTTTGGGTCCTCATCAAGAAATAAAGACAATTTAGTTTTAGTTTTTTTAGACAATTTAATCATAATTGTCATCTGGATCCTGCAGCTCATGAGTCAGATACCTGCAGAATGTGAGAGACAGATGGAGGATAACTGCTTTCAGACATCCACTGAACTGTGCAGTTGCTCTGTATTTTCTCAGGACGAGGTGCATATGTAAACACAAATGTCAGCGCACACACAAGTTAGGTTTCTGCGCCTGGCCTCCATGGGATCCCCCACTGGATTCACTGCCAGCGAGTGGGGGTTGATAATGAATCTAACAAGTGACAGATGCAAAAAAGGAAAAAAATAACTAACTGGGTGAAAAAGCAGTGACACACACATAGGGCTGGGTAATTATCACAAAATCACAAAATAACTTCTCATCTCTCTCTCTCTCTCTCTCTCTCTCTCTCTCTCTCTCTCTCTCAAACACACACAAATGTGTAAACTCAAACTTATTAAATGTAGGGAGCTGGAGGAGCTGTCCAGGTGGTTTGGTTTGAAGCAGTTGGTACAGTGCACAGCGTGGATGATAGAGACACAGAGGAGCAGAACATAACTGACATAGTCACTAAATAGTAAAGTAGTTAACACTGTAGGTGGATCGTCGCAATATTCAACAAGCATGTTTTCCTTATATCATGCAGCCTGTGTGCACTGCAAATTGTGTCGAAAAGCACAAAGATGGGTAATGCCACTAATTATTTTTACAATCTGAATCAGAAATGACTGAAATAGGGATTTGATTTATATCATGGTATATATCTTTATCCACTTATGTGAAAAATACAATTGTGATTCGAATTTTTTTCCATATCGCCCAGATACACACACATAAAAGACACTGACGAAGATGTCTAGAGAGTTTGTGTTGATAAAAGCTGACAACAAAGTGTTGTTGATCTCAGCAGCAGAGTTGATATGTCACTTACTGTCTCTGCCTGCTGCACCCTGCTGTTCCACCACTCACCTGAATAATGCAGGGGATTTGTTGCTGTTGTAAATGCGTCTGTGCAGTAAAACCTTCTGCTGCATTGTGCATGGGTGATAGGCAGACTGTGGTTAAACTCTGTATCCATTTATCTGGATTTTACCCACAGGTCATGTTTGAAAACGACTAGAGAGAGAAACTGTGGGTGGGGAAAAAACACAAAGCTAGTGACTTGTAGTAAAATAAATGAGGGGCAGAGAAAAGGAGAGAGAGAAGTGCCAAAGCAGCATAACTAAGCGATGGTTCATGAAACAAAATGGTTGGTTGTTTTACATTTACAGTCATTCAATTATACAAATGCTTGTTTTATTTTTATTCTTAGAAATGCTGCTTTGGAAGGTGCAGTGAACAAAGTGGGATGCAGTTTACCTACTGCTCGAAAAACAGGAACTACCATCTGTGGTGTTGTCTTCAAGGTAAGTGACAGAAACCAGGCCACTTCAGTCATTTGCATCTTTAAATGTAGACACATGGATGTACATTGAGTAAGGTAGGTATTAGAGCCCCATTCCCCCCCCCATGAAAATGCTGTGTCTGTATGTGTTACAGACCTCTGCAACCTCATTATGATGATAATTCCACTCTCAGATACCTCAAATGTAATTCTTATAAGTCATAATCCATGTGCTTATTGTCTTAAATCCACCTAAATTCCAGATACCCTAAGAACCATAATACTCATAAGTTTTAACTAGTCAGAATGTTGTTGTAGATATCACGGACTTGAAATTCTAGATATCTCAAACTTCGAATTAAAGGATATAATTAAGAATGCAAGATATATGTCGTATTTATTTATTTAGCGATGTGGAAATTAAGCCCATTAAACGTCAAAATTTTAACTTTTAATGATTTTGAAGGAGAAATTTTCTTCCTCCTAAAGTTGTCTGAAGTTTTCTGATGTACTTTTACCCTCAGGTGTGCATAAACTACAGACTATGAACTTTAAGAAACGTGAAATTCTCAGTTTCAGGATTGGCTGGTTAACTGTCCCTACCTCAGGAGATGCTGCCACAGTGTGCTGTAGAGGTGTGCATCTTAACTAGCCTCACAATCACGATTCAGAATGTCAACAACTCAATTCACCTCGATGCATTTCAATGGATCACATCCACCATTCTAAATTACTGCACATGGCTGCTTTTTCACCAGTTGATAAAATCAGACAAACATGAACTCTGTTTTAGTTAAAAAATGCTTTAAAAAGTATTATAGACTGTTACAAAATAAGGTTTTCGATTCATAAATCTGAGTATATGACAGTGGTCAGTTCTCTCCACGTTGATTTAACATTCATTCAGCTTAGACTTGTGTGCTGCACCTCAGCTTTAAAAGGACAAACTCTGATTATAGCCTTTACATTTTCAAGGTGGCCCCACCTGGCCCGTCCTTAACAGAGCCACTGCACTGAGGCACATTAATGGAGTGAACAATTAGGCAGCCTATTTAAGTAGAGAGAAATTTCCCATCAACCCCTTTGCTTGCACTGCTGTTGCAGTATCGCTACCAGTTGCTTCAGCCCCATCACCACCCCATCACCCACCTGTAGGCTCCGGGGGGGGACACTAGTATTTGCTTGTCACTCCCGTTATATCTGTTTAAGGGGAGTGATTGAGTCGGAGCCTAGATGCCCAACACAAACTATGTTCTACTACCGCAATAAATAGTTGAACGTGAGTTGTCTGACTGAACTATGCTGGTCAACAAGTGACTGCTCCTCTGATGTTTTCTAATCATCCCAGTTAGACTAATCTTTATTAAATCCTGCTGAATTCATATTTATCTTCCTGGATAAACGGGGCTTCGTGTGTGTGCGCGCGTGCGTGTGTGCGTGTTCACACATGAACTGATAATCACTTGTATTTATTTATTTATTAATCAGTAATGTTGGTACATGTCTCCAAATCGTTCCGGTCACTGTAACCATGATGTTCTGACTGTGCATATCACTTATGTGTAGCAGGTTAACAAACAAACAAAGACATACAGATGAAAACATAACCTTGGTGGAGGTAATACAGCATAGTATATTGTTAGGGTGGCTTATAATGTTACAAAAAGTTAGTGTTCTCTATTTTTCAAAAAATGTCTTCATTTAACCTTTTTCACATTGAACATTTGGACTCGTAGGCCTGTTGAGGCTGAAGTTCTTTGTCATCCAGTTGTAGCCTGTAGTCAGAATGAAGTTTGTTTTAAATGAGTTATTAGTATTGTATTGCTGTACTTGATTTGTCTCACACAAGCACATTAAGTAAAAACGGGAATGGTAAAGCTACAAAAGCCACACGATGTAAACTCAATCAAGGTGGAAATGTGTTACTCACTCAAGTAAGCTGTTCTTTTTGAAAACCCAGACATCAGTCACTGCTTAAAATGTGATGCCTCTCTGTTTGAAGTGTTTTTTTTTGGGTGCTCCAAGCACCTGTACAGTGCCTGTGGTAATGCTGATTCCAGGGGCATTTCTGAAACTGCAAAAATGAGCTGCAGTAATATAGCGACAGCAAGTAAAGACCAACGGCAGGACTTGGTCTGCAGAACTCTGCCACAAGGTGAAAGGTTCACCTGATAATTCAAATTTCTGTAAACTCTGAGTCAGCACACATAACTCAGAAGTGGAGAATTCATTGTTGTTTCTGCTGTCAAACGTGACCGTTGTTGTGAACACACTGACATTTCTGGAATTATTTGCTGGATGTATTATGTTGTCATGTCTGTTGTATGTGTTGTCTGTCTGTATCAAATTCATTTTAAAAAGAAGCATAGATTTACTGAGTCTAAATTATGTCTTTTGTTTCCCTCTGAAGGATGGTGTTATCTTGGGGGCTGACACTAGAGCCACTGAAGGCATGGTAGTGGCAGACAAGAACTGCTCAAAGATCCATTACATCTCCTCAAACATTTAGTAAGTAACAGCTGCTCAGGGTTTCATAGCGTGTGGTTGAGTTATGTGCTCAGGCCTCACATTGTCTTTGCATTGTGTGTGTATATTGACAAAAGATTAACTCTTTGTGTTATCGTCCAGTTGTTGTGGAGCAGGAACAGCTGCCGATACAGAGATGACCACTCAGATAATCTCCTCGAACCTGGAGCTTCATTCCCTTTCTACTGGCAGAGTGCCACGTGTGGCCACTGCTAACCGCATGCTCAAACAAATGCTCTTCAGGTACACTTCTTAGACTGCATTAGTGTATTCCTTTTGTTTGGAAATGTGTTGGAATGTTGAAGTACTAAATCAAATTGATGCAAAAAATTGAATTGCTATTAATTATTCAAAAGCCAATTTTCTTTCTTATAAAATAGATGTGTGTATAACCTATGAATGAGCAGTGCTGCTGTGTGTTTTTCAGATATCAGGGGTACATTGGGGCTGCTCTGGTCCTGGGTGGAGTTGACTGTAATGGTCCCCACATTTACAGCATCTACCCTCACGGTTCCACTGACAAGCTGCCCTATGTCACCATGGGTCCGTCTCAAACACCAACAAGCCACTGTTCTACACACATATTTTGCTTAGACATTGTGATGGATTTCTAAAGAATGAACAGTGTTTATGAGCTGAATTTACTTTGGGAAGATAATCTATAACAATAAGGTAGAAAAGTACAGGTCAGTACAATCAGTGCAGACTTCAATAGAGTTTTAATTGCTTTTCTATAAAATTTTGTTGAAACTGCAAATGTCAAATTTGTGATGAGCCTTGTAAAGAATGATGTGGTCCTTGCCAATCAATACTGAATTTCTAAGGCCAATGTTGGTTTTGATATTTGAGGTTTCAACAAATCTGATACATGAATTGATATTAATATCTTAAAGAAATGCATAAAATGTTTACATAAGTACCCATCACATTTAGTTATTGAAACATTTTGACAAAGATGTTAACTGAGAAGCACATTATGCCACTGGTAAATCAGATGTATTTTTTTGTACTGACTAAGTCTCATCCCAAGATGAAGAAAGAATTTTTGTTTTGCTATTTTATAATAATATAATTTACTGAACGCCTCTTGTAAGGATAGCAGAATCAGCAACACTATTATTTGTAGTTAGGCTGGTCCACCCTGAAAGACTCACTAACAGACTCCTGTCATGTCAATGGGTAGCTCAGCTCAGCTTCAGTTGTCGTTACCACTGCTGTAATACGCTGATGGATGCTTAAGCAGCAGCAGTAGGTGGCCTATAACAGAGACACACACAAAACACCATCTATCTCTGACTTATTACTAGAAGTTGTTTGGACCATATGTAGCCAGAGAGGAGTACTGCTACTAACACTGACACTTTCTCTAAGTCTCTCTGAAAATATGGATACTGGTTGGCCACTGATCCAATATTTCTTATTTAAAGGTTCTGGGTCTCTGGCAGCTATGGCGGTATTTGAGGACCGCTACAAGCCTGACATGGAGGTTAGTCCCCGAGTTTTATTGTATTGATGGCAATACAATAGACAGTAAAGTTATAATCCCAAACAACTGGAATCTGTAATACTTCATTTTCAAGGAGGAAGAGGCCAAGCGGTTGGTGCGTGACGCCATTGCTGCTGGTATCTTCAATGACCTTGGCTCTGGAAGCAACATTGACCTTTGCGTTATCACCAAGGGAAAAGTAGACTATATCCGACCCCATGATGAGGCGAACAAGAAGGGTGTCAGGTGAGGACTAAATCAGCCAGTAAAATTACATGCACACTAATAAACTTATTCCATGGTAATGTAAATTGTATATTATGTTTGGATAGTCTAATGACATGTATACATTACAAAAAAAGTAAATAAACCAAGGCACTCTTGTGGGACACTGGCCTTCATCAGATTAACCAGAACTGAAGAATAAACAAGACATATCCTATATGGGCTTGGGAGATAGGCCTGACTAAATTAGAGGAAAATAACCACAATTACACTGCAGAATAACATGAAAGATCCAGCAAAAACATCTAGAGATGTATAGGTCCCGGATATAACCTTGGCCTTGAGCTGGAAAATCCAAAATGTTTCTCATACTGTCAAAGTGTTACACACAATGTGTGTGAAACCAAGCTTCAGTTCTGGACTCTGACAGAACTTTGGGGCTGATTGGACAATGCGCAGTGGCATCACAACAACTTCATTTTCACGCTCAATCTGTTCAGGTCGAGGCTCTGATGAAGCCTAAAAAAATTGGGACTGATTGGATGTAGTACACTTAAGTTACAGCATTTTCATGTGTCATGGCGACTTGTTAAAAGTTGATCACAACCCCTTTTACATGGTGTTTGACGAAAAACTCACAGTTTCCATATGTCTGCATCATCAATGTCTTGAGGCCCATCTGACAAAGTTTGACATGGTTGTGGTCAATGGCCGAGGAGGAATTAATCAAAGCGTACATGCTTACATGTCCAGTTTGCAGTAAATTAGACCATGTATGTCCGAGTTTTGATGGCGCGTAATCGAAATTTGACGCCATGACGTTTTAATCTCCATCTTGTTAAGAAGACATTCACCGAATTTGAAGTTGATCTGGTCAGAAAACTCTAGGAGGAGCTCTTTAAAATACACAATGTGCTACATGGACAAAATGGCCACTAAATCCAAAATTGCTGACTTCCTGTTGAGTTTTTCATAATGATCGGAGACTTTTTTGTTCGTCTGGTCATGATACAAGTGTGTACAGATTTTCTTGAAGATCCATTTCAAGTTACTCCAGAATAAGTACATCTTCACTACTTTTGAAATTTGTGAAAAGTTTCACGAGTTTTCGAGTATGTTTAAACCCCCAAAAAGGCAATTTATTTGCCTGAAAAATAATAAGACAAATCATTTCAATCTCAATAGGGCCTTCACACTGTCTGTGCTTGGGCCTTAATTATCTCAAGGCACTTAACATAGAAGGTCCAAGACCTTAAAATGTATAGAGAAAACCAACAGTTCCCAAAATAAGCAAGCACTCTGGAGACTGTGAAGAGAAAAAAACTCCGTCATTAACCAGATTCAATGTGTGCAGCCATCTGCCAAGACTATTTGGTGTGGAAGAAAAAACAGAGGCTATAATGTTATTTCTTGCACGTCACTAACTTAGCAGCCGTGTTGTTCAAAATGTTGACATACATTTGCAGTAAAACTGAAAAGTTTTAAATTTGGTTATTGGTGTCCTTGATTACTAAAAATCATTGTCAGTATCAGCCTTTTGGCACTGCCATAATACACCTATTATACTTTTTCTTGACAGTTCCTATATACATTGGGAACTTCTTTACTAGAGCTGTGTATCTGCACTTATTTACCTAATCGATTTGATTCTAATACAAAAGGTTTGCCAATATTGCGTGGATATGAAAGAAATGATCAGAACTGTAGGCTTGAATTAGAGTATGGCACACACACCAACTAATAATAATTTAAGGTTTCTTGAATTTATGTGAATTTAAGACAATATAGACAAATTATAGATAGATATCTGAAACTTGAATCATCTTCCTACATATAGAATGAGCATTGTACAAGAAGATAAAGTTGCTTTTCAAATAAACATCTAGAAAGAGTAAAATGTAGCTTTGCCATTTTATCTGATAATGGATTTTCAAAGTAATAATAATGCAGTAAATTGGGGTGGCAAATCATCCCATCAAAATACAAGGTCGACTACAATATTATAGCACTTCTTCAAATATGCTGAAACAAATCACTCAGAAATATAACATCAAATTACACCATTCATACGACTAACAAGTCCACTTAATAAAATAGAATTGAATGTCATTAAACCATCAATAGGCTAAAATATAAATTGTAATTATACAAACATACTATATGTCAAATAGTGAATTAGAAGATAGCACCGTCTACAAGCCTCACAACTAACTAGTAACCATAGAGGCAGAAACATGTGACAATGAAAATAGGCATTAGCTGTTTTTTCCTAAATGAAATGAGCAAGCTACAATGAATTGGCTCAACAGGCTCCAGGAACTAAAAACTAAAACAAGCACTTAATCAACGTCATATAATGGTCACAATAAATTTGGTTATAGCAGCAAGATAATGAATTTGTCAAAGGTGTTAGATTTTGATGATTGTAGGCCTCTAGTAGAAGTCTTAATGGCATTGAATGCTGTTGCTTGGCTGAGAAGTTGCCCCTCCAACAGTCCTTTATGTTGTCAGCCATAATTTAATCAAATAGGATGCAACAACATTAAGTAGTTCACGACAATAGTATTATTGAACTTATTTTATTATGAGGCTTGCAATACAATGCAATTACTTTTCCCTCTGGTTTTGGAACTATCATAAGTAAGCTACGCAATTATTATATATAATCAACCGCTCGTAGTGATGAATTCCAGAACAAACATCACAATAAGTTTCCACATTTTAGTCGGGAGGAGGTGCCATGTGAATTGACAGAGCTACCTCCCACATCTCTGTTCACTCTCTACTCCCTTCTTCTGACAAAGTTACTTAACGGAAAAACCCTACTATGATCTGAATGTCTTTCATTTATTAACTAGGGCAGCAGGGCTCCATCTGATTGGCCAAATACATTGACATGCAGAGCGTGGATGCGTGGCACATGAAACACCATTTGTTGCAGTTCAATTAGTCTTGATAATATCGCGAGGATGATACATTTTTCGATATGCAGCCCTGGTACACAGTGAAGCACAGGAATAACTGGAAGCTTCCACTACATATCCTAACTGGCTGAACTATCCAATGATTATGGAAAAGAGTGCCAATTTATATACTATATATACTGTTACTGTGCTATACTATTTATCAGTATCATATATTCATGTATTATCGACAGGAAGCAGTACCTTCACAAAAATCTAACAAGCCTATTCTGTGTTCACTACTGGTGGACAGCTTAATGGCCACCACCTCTCATACTGATTTGAATTTACCACTAACCAACTCCCTGTCAGGATCCTGTAGAATGATGATGCAAGCCAAGTGGTTTGTAATCTAGACACTTGGCTTGCTTATCTAAATTTACCATAACTAACATGCATGGTTGTGTGTTTTGAATGGTTGTTTAGTGGCATGCTGTGCTGATTAAAATGAATTATGTGTGGTACTACAATTACCAAGCCTCAACCAATATTTTTAATGTAACAGATTATCCTTTGGTTTGATAGAAACTTATTATTCCAATTTTCTTATTTCCCCCCATATAGAACTGGTGACTACAAGTACAAAAGGGGTACCACTGGTGTGCTGACAAAGGTTGTGACCCCACTGAACCTGGAGCTGGTGGATGAATCTGTACAGACTATGGATACCTCCTAAAATACTTAGTTTCTTGATGTATTACACTAATCAGCAGAATTCTTAACACAAATGGTATGCTTTTCCATGGTTTCCAATAAAAGTGTTGTAGTTGACTGAATGTCTTTAAGTTGCTTTCCTTTTAAAGTTTTTCAACTTCAAACACAACAGGTGAATCAGTTTTGACAAGGACCACTTACTTAACAGCATCTTTCTGTCTAAACTGAGTGAGCTTATTGATAAGATGAAACAGGTGTTAAACACCAAATTGTTTTTCTTTTATTGAACAGGCTGTCTAGGTAAGTTGTAGAGGGAGGTATAATGTGCCACAAAGGCACAAAATTGAGTATGATGTTTTAATGCAGGTTGACCACAATGGCACTAAATGGTTTGTATTTATATAGCGCTTGTCTAGTCTTGATGACTAGACTAGTCTTGATGTAAAGTGTCACAACATGGCATCACCAGAGTTCCCTGACCAATTTTGAGGTGGATCAAATGAAAAGGCTAGGTGTAAAGTGTAAAACATGGTACTTCCTTTCACTGCAAGGGGGTGCTGTGACTTCTATAGTATATTTTCATCCAGGCCTGTAACACATTCCAAAAGAAGTTTGGACGGGGTAATTTAGGGCTAGTAATGATGTAGAATGATAAAAAGATGAAGTGATATGAAATAGGTGATGTCAACAGATCGTTATCATGATTAAGTACAAAAGCAGCATCCAGGAAAGGCCTAGTCCTTTAGGAGCATAGATGGGCAGAGGATCGCCAGTTTGCCAACAAATGCGTCAGAGAACTACTGAAATGTGTTCCTCAAATAAAGATAGGAAGGGATTTGGATATTTCATCCTCTACAGTGCATAACATTATTTAAAGATTCAAGAAATCTGGAGGAATTTCAGTGTGTAAAGAGCAAGGGGTGCTAGCCTAAGTTGACTAATTGTATTCTCCGATCCCTCAAACGACAATGCATCAAGAACCACTTCATCCATAAGCGATATAACCACATGGGTTCAGGATTACTTTAGCAAATGTTTGTCAAGCAGTACAATACGTAGTTACATACACAAATGCCAGTTAAAACTTTACCGTTCCAAAAGGAAGCCTTATGTTAACCGTATCCAGAAGCACTGCCAACTTCTCTGGGCTCAAAGGCATCTGGGATGAACCATAACACAGTGGAAACATGTATTGTGGTCAGATGAGTCAGTATTTCAGGTCTTCTTTGACAGAAATGTACACTGTGTGCTCCAGACTAAAGATGAAAAGGACCATCCAGACTTATTAGCAACAAGTCCTAATGCCAGGGTCTGTCATGGTATGGGGTTGTGTCAGTGCCCTCGGTAAAGGTAACTTACACTTCTGTGATGGCACCATTGCTGCAAAAAAGTACATTGAGATTTTGGAGAAGCATATGTTGCCTTCAAGACGACATCTTTTCTAGAGACATCCAAGCATATTTCAACAAGACAATGCAAAACCACATTCTGCACACATTACAGAGACATGGTTGCTGAAGAAGAGGGTGGGGGTGCTGGACTGGCCTGCGTGTAGTCCAGACTTGGGCACACAGAATGTTTGGCGCATTTTGAAATGCAAAATGCAACAACAGAGACCCCGTACTCTTGCACACCTTAAGACCAGAAGAATGGGACAAAATGATACCTGAAATGTTTCCTAAATGTCTTTTAAGTGTTGTGAATAGGAATGGCACGATTACAAAGTGGTAAATATTTTATTGTCTCAACTTTTTTTGAAATATGTTGCAAGAATCAAAAGAATCAAAAGTTGTTTATTTTGAAAAAACTAATTACATGAGTTCAACCATCAAATAATGTGCTTTTGTATTGTTTTATTGTAATACAGGTCAAAGATCATTTGTAATCCCTGTTTTCAGTTTTAAATTTTAAACATACAGTAACATACTGTCCCAGCTTTTTCTGATTTGGGTTGTTCAGTAAATAATAGCAACAAACAATGTCAATGTTGAATCCAGGGAGGCGATCTGTGGTCAGTTTCCAGATCAAACTAACAAAGCAAATATTATTATAAGCTCTAGTGCCCGCTTAATGGCCAGGCCCTCTTTTTCTGCAGTGGAATACTATGTTTCACACGGCTGCAGCTTGTGGCTCTGGTATAGGATTGGGTGTTCCTCTCCAGGGTCTCTTTGGGCTGGGAACTGCTCCAAGGAAGACATCTGAGGCACCCACTTTTTCCACTTTACCTGACATCTTCTGTTGAAGTCTGTGCTATTGAGGACAGGGGAGGACCACAGGTAGGCTTTCAGGGTGCTATGAAACTTTTCACAATCATCAAACCAGGTTACTGGGTTCCTCTGGGGTTTTCTGGTCAGTGCTGTGAGTGGGGCTGCGATGGTTGCATACTGGGGTACAAAGAATCTGTGCCTCAGAGCCAAGCCAAGGACCAAACCTCCTCCTTGGTGCAATTTTGAAGGTCAGTTTTTAATTGCTTCAACCTTTTTCATGTGTGAATGCATCTCTCCAGGTACAGTGTCTCCTGCTTTCCCCAATGGCACTTGGAGGGGTTGAGTATCAAGCCAGCCTCTTGAATCCTTCCCAGGACCAATGCAATGTAGCATGTCCAATAGATGTTAGACATGTTCCTCCCACGTTTGAACATAACCACATCATCATGATATGCAGCACTGCACTGGTCGCAACCTGGGAGGAGCCCTCTGCAGGCCAACTCAATCACAGTAAACTGGAAAAGTTCGGCTGGTGTTCAAAAAGCTGTGTATGGATGGGATATCTCCTCTAGCGCCAACTACCAGTATCTCTGCAGCAACTCTGATCTTCTCCAGCATGTTATTGATCCTTTGTATGGGGTAGGCGTAAAACTCAGAGAGGACCATCCTTCTTGAAGATGATGACCACTGGCATGTTCAATGAAGGCTGGCCTTAAAGAGGAAATAACACCCCTGAAAGACCTGAAGAAGTTGTATAGTAGTACAATGTGCAAGCGCATGTGTAGCTGTTGTGGTTAGGGGTTCTGGTCATGTCTCCCCAACATCTCTCACCAGCACAACCTATGCATGAGCCAAGATTTGATGCTCTTTCTATTTCTTCAGCAAGTTCACATGGTACATCTGTACTGTTGCTCCTTTTCTGGGTGGTGAACCTCATAAGTTACAGGACCCATTTTCCATTCTGGAGGTAAAGTTGGTATCCTTGTAAGTCAGGATTTCAACTGTATCCCCCCTCTGGAGAACAGCTGCACCAAAGCGTGCAGATTAGAGAGAAGGTTGCGATGGAGCTGTTCTTTCACATAGGGTTGTCAGAGTCCCCTTCCATATATACTGTTGCAGTGAAAAGTGACATTGATGGACTGCAATAGCAGGTGGTAGCACATTGCTTTAGTAAGCTGATGACCTCCTTCCGGATTCCCCATTGAGAGCAACGTTTTGTAGCTGAGTATGGTAGCTCAGGTGGTAATTATGCTCTGACCGAAAGTGACAACAGTAGAGATGCAGGGCACATATGCCCATGTGCACATATGTAACCCAGGTTTTTTCTTAAATTAAGTACCTCAAGCCATTGGAAGTTCCCTGAATGCATCACATCCAAGGTGCTGCTCAACAACTATATACACTTAATGGTCAGTATCTATATAACGCTTTTCTAGTCTTGATGACTACTCAAAGGGCTTTACAGTACAGTTTTGCCATTTACCCAATCATTCACACATTCATACAGTGGATCTATGGGCAGCACTTTTTCTTTGAGTAGGCATTCAGGCTTCAGCACTGTGCTGGGACCATCACCAGCTTCACCTCTGGGTGGCGGGCATGAACCGTACAGGGCCCCAACCAGGCCAGAAAAACCTCCAGCAGTATTGTCTGCCTCTCCGCTTGCCTCTGGAGAGCCCCCAACTGCATCTGCTCTTCGCTGCCTGCTCCCTGTACATAGCCACATACTCCTCTGCCATTTGAACCAGTGCCGTCTCAGTCTGCAGGTCAGTATCTTTGGCTGTGTTGGGCCTCATGTCAGGCGCCACTGTGGCAAAGGATGTCGCCACCGGGGTCTCCCAACAATGGCCAAAGACAAACTTTTCAGCATCTTTTAAAAAAAAATCAATGCAAACATACATTTTAATCTGTTTAAGTGTCCAGTCGTCTTTGCTAGTGTCTTGGCAGCTCAGCTCAGCTGTCTTTTCTGTCTCTCATGTGTTATTTCTTCCTGAGTTTTTTCTCAAGTGTGCCTCTGTCCTCTGTGTGGCAGCTCTCCTGCTGCCTTTTGAAACCAGTGAGAGTTAATTGGCCATTTACCTCAGCTGTGCTACGTACACACATTAATCATGCCTGTTTCAGAAATTCAAACAGCAAAACCATTCAGGATATTGTGTGTTATGTGACATGATCATTGATTGATAATGAGCTGTTTAGCTGCACATTGCAGTCAGATTGATCACAGCCTAAAAGCTAAACTAAGCTAAGTATTGCATTCATAGATACTACTATCATTTGAGTAACCTCACAAGGTGGTTTGGCTGTATTACCACCAAAGTGACACTGATTGCACAGCATTAACAATGGAGGACTACAGCATCTGTTTTCAAGTGTTGCTCCTGACTTTGCAAAGTGGTATCCAAAGTGGTATCCAAAGATGACAAGTGTACAGCATTTTTGCTGCTATTGATGAATATGATGAAAGAAATTAAGTTTGAGAAGGTAATAATCCAATATGTTTAAATTGTTAGTCACACTGAAAGTAAGATTTTACCTTCAGCCTTTGTTAGCTTTAGCCTTTAGCTTGCATTAACTATGCTGTTAAGTCATAGTATGCATCTCAGTGAAATTATGGTTGTCTCTTAATTCAGAATCTGATATTGTATGTCTTATGTGCACAAGTTATGTTGGAACAAATTATGTTCATTATGTTTTGTGTAAACATATCTGAAACACATTGTGCAGTGGCCAAAACTCCTGACGTTTTTTCCTGAAGGGTTTTTCCTTTAACCCCTATTTCATTACCTATTGTTTTTGCCACATAGAGAGTTCGGGTGCAGTGTGTCAGACTCGCAGCCTTGTTTCCAAAGAGAGATCCAGAGAGAGTGCATTGTTCACTGTAGCTTCGAATTTGTTGCAAAATTAATATGA